TATTTATATTAACTTATACAGTCTCTAAACATGTGAAATTGCAAGGGATTTGGCTCATTTTCATTGCCTGATAAAGCTTGTTTTAGTTTATTTATTAATTTTTAGGTGTTAACTGAATTTTACCAAATAAGAACCTGTTTCACATTTTAGGCTAAAACAGGTTCTTATGTCAAAGGGTTCTAAATGGCAAATCTTAGTCTAACTGGTTCTTAATTACTAGGTTCTTATACGCGGGTTTTTATTGTATTATGAACAAGTCATATATTACGTATATTCAGTATAGGTCTTTGATCTGAGTATAAACCTACATTTACGAACATGAAGTTTATATGATAGTATCGGGGCGTGCATGGAGGGGGCGATTTTCTAACGGTTAGGTGTTCAAGCTACGTCTTGTGTGCCTAATGCCTAATATATGCTATCCCGATTGGCTTCAAATGCAGAACGAGATAGCTTAATTAGTTCCCTGACAATGCAGTAATTCCTATTTCTGCTACGTTTCTTCGAAGCAAATTGCCCGCGACATACACCGATGGCCACCCGAGATAATATAAAACATATGCTAGATATTCTTGATTCGCCGGCTATGTTATTAAAAATGCCAGATATTGCAGAGTCACTGGCAAAGATATCAAACATGCCAGATGTTGTAGAGTCGGTGGCGATGATATCAACCATGTCAGATATTGTAAAGTAGGTGGCGATTATATCAAACATAGATATCAACTAGATATCATGGAGTCGCCGAGCAATGGCTGGGGTCAATAGCTTGTCAGCATAACTACTATAGGCAATAATTTAGATAAAGTTGCCGATTGCTGCGACGAGCGGTGGAATTGTCTAAGTTTCGATAGCATTATTCCCACTGCCATCCAACCACGATAATATATCAGGAATGAATAATAGAGTGAATAGTGAGTCTATAATTCACTCCTGATAATATCAGGAGTCTATCAATAGACTCCTGATATAGACTCCTGATAATATGCAGCTGTATTTTATTGTGACGATATCGTAAAATGCTAAAATTTCAAGGTTTATAACTTATAATAGCAGCATTTTAGCGCTAGAGTTCAGAAAGTCGCATTTCACACTTGAATGATTGTCCATCTTGACTGCAGAAAAATAACTTTTCAGTGGATATGAACCCCGCACCGCATTAGTACACTGCTCTTCGGTGTGCATGGTTCCTTCAACCTCAAGAAATTTCATCAGATCAACCGAACCTAACTGTTCTGCGGAGCGTCTACGTCGCAAGATAATAGAGTTACGTTCAGGCAGGGGTTAATAATGAGAAATGATGATGAACATTATTGACCCCTCGTTTAGGGTATGCTGAGTACGGCAATATGTATTTATTCATTACAGGGATATGCCAGTGATTGCCCCAATGCTACAGGTACTGCATTATGATCCCCTAGCCAACCCTCCCAACTACGGCCAACCAGATAACTGGGTGCGCAGGAACACGGAAGAGATCGAGCAACATAAGTAAGTTGTTTGCTGGTTGAGAGGGAGAGCTGATGGGTGAGGGAAGGTGGTGTAGCATGGCGATGGAAGGTGGATCGCTCCACACCAAAGAATACTCGCTTCACCACGACAATTATTAATGCATTCTTGTAATTTCTTTGCTTCAGCCTCATTTTATAACCGTCTCTCCAGGATTACCTTTTTTCGCATGTTTTCATGATATATGATATATATATACATATTATTATATATATGAGAAAGTGAGCGATAGGAAGAGAGCGAGCGGGAATGAAGAGAGCGGGAATGAGATAATTAAAAAACATACGTTCACTTTAATGATTAGTGGCGCCACCTTTTGAGTATTCTTACCCAAAATCGTGTACGTAAAGCGCAAAGCAAGACGCATGCGCGTGCGTTCGCGTATGCGAATCTGCTTACGCTAGTCAGCGAGACCTACCTTTATGGTTTTATAATATTCGAGCCTCAAAATGTGGTGCTGGTTTCTAAATGTTAAATAATTATTTTATAGCATTCTTCATAAATATCTAAATTGACTTTTAATCCATCATCCGTGCCATAACGTACAAGTAGAATTGTTGTCAGTGATCTGTGAGATTCTATCAATTCTATATAATTTAAATTTTTTAATTTATATAAATATGTATTTAATTATTTTTCTACTGATTAACCGCGTCATTTTGTTATTTTACTTTTACAGAGCCACCTGGGCAAAGAAAGCATCGCTGTATGTAAAGAATCCAAACACTGGGCGGATTAAGTCGCATAAGCTCTCGCAGGACAATACTAAAAGTTTCAAATTTAGAAACATTCAAGGCAGTTGATGAATGATGGAAGTACACATTATCACAGAATCCGTTACCCACAGTAGACCTTTGTATTTGCACCCACAAGTCACCTGAATTCACGAACCAATAGGATTTTCGCTAAGGTCGACGTATGATATGCGTACTGCCCCCTGTGTTATTACCGCAGCGGATTGCACTCCCTCATCTCTATATATTAACAGTGTTATCTAGTTTTTTACTATTTATAGCAGGACCTGATTATCACCATTCCCTACTATCTACTCCTGATATCACTGATTGCACAGCGTTCCCACACGTGGTGCCATCTGTTGGAGATATTCTCTGGTATCAATATGTACTAGCATCAATCTCTAAGCCGAGATTGCGGTAAAGATACAATGGCTATTCAATGGAATGTAACTCTAATCATAGCTATCTATACTAGATAGAATATCAGTTGAGAGCTGCTTAAGAGCATGTAGTACATGTACATATAGATATTTATGGCTTGTATGATATCTATGACATATGACTATCAATAATGTGACCATCTTAGCGTTGAGGGTGTATGAGCTAGCATATGGGCGATTTGATTTTAATTTATTTTATTTATATGGTTGAAATAGTGTCATGCAGCATTTACTCGATTTTTTCCTGCTGCTACCATTATAGGCCTATAAATTATAGTTGCACTAAAACAAGAGGTATATACAGGCAATTTTCTGTCAATTTGCTGCAAACTAAGTTGTGTGGAAGTCTCGTTTGTGTTGTGAAAAAATACGCAGAACACAGCATATAGTCGTGTTTTATTCGCTTCTGCTCGGCAATCAACGAAACCGTATTCAGAACGAACAAATATCAAAATGCTGATTTAGACATTTAGACATGTGTTTGCGATACCAGCTTCTAAGAGCATCAATAGTTATAAGACAAAACCACAATATTGTTTATGCAGGCCAGGCCATGGATGCATTTGCGCATATGTTTCGCACCTGGTTGTTGTGCAATCGTGGTAACACATCGAAAGTATATATATATATATATATACTAACATAATATTTATAAATGAATCGGTTCTAGTCAGACACGCCCTAATGAGACAATGTACAATGTAACTTGGAATAGTACGTACGCCGTGAGAAACTAATGCGCAGTTCTTAAAACAAACGTATATGGGATTAGAAATCAAAAATAGCGTTTAACATGAACATGGATACTCATAGCTGAGTATACATAATATGTTCATGCGTATATATATATATATGTATATATATATATATATATATATATATATATATATATATAGTATAGTCGTAGTAGTAGTACGTAGTCGTGTACGTATACCTTAGTTACGTACTAGTTACTACCTTACGTACTTACGTAGGTACTAC